CTTTTAGGCATATTAAAGAATATTTAAAGAAAAAATTGCGTGAAAAGGAGGAAAAAAGAGATGATGATGATTATTTCGATAATCAAATTTTAATAAATATTTTTTAAGTTGCGCAAATCTCATATAATTACTGCAGATCTGTAATTCACAGGGTGGTCTAATACTTTTGGGTAGGGAGTGTACTTTAAAATAGAATATTATTAATTTGAGTCAAGTATAAAAATATATATGAAATAGTTAAGATAAATCATGATAAATGTAATTAGAAGATTAGTCTTATTTGCTTTACCAAAAAAAGTTAAAGTTTTTTCCTACAAGTATAGAGAAATATGTTATATGACCTTTAGGAGTAAATGATTTAACTCCTAAAAATATAAAGTCAATCAAAAAAATAATATATAAGAAGTAGTATTTTAATCATATTCTCATAATTTATAAATGTACAAATTAAAAGAAACTAAAAGTTAAAAAAAAAAATGAAGAATAGTATATTAATGAAGATTTAATCCTTTTTTTTTCTGGTTAGTAATTTTTGTTTTTATATAGATATTTAATATAATATAAAAGTATATAATATAATATTTATATAATAAATTATATTTTTTTAAAAAATTTTATCATAAATTACATATCTACTATATCTATTCTTTAATCATAATTTTTTTAAATAAAGTATATTATTTTAAATTTAGCATTATAACATTATTAATATCAATTTTAGTTATTTATATTTTTAGATCTTGTAATCTATTCTTTATTATATTTTAGTTATCATATTAATTTTTTAATATTATATAATATTCTAGTTATTATATTACTTTTTAATTATCATATTACATTCTAGTTATTGTATTGTATTTAGTTAGTATATTACATTCTGATTATTATTATATTTTATTTCAATTACAGTGGTCGAAAAAAGTAATTAGAAAAAAATACATTGCAATAAAATGTAAATTTCTCTCGTATTATTAAGCCAATCAAGTTGAAATTTCACGTGATAACATATTAATCATAATAGTAAATGATTGACATATTTGTTTATTTATTTAGTTTTACCCGCCAAGTTTTTTTTTAGCAACCATAGCAAACGTTACACTTGAGTAATGTCATACAATTGTAAGCACTTTATGGAGCAATAGCGTCCATGATGCCAAAACTTTGCACAAATTAACCTCTATCTCACGTTCTATGGTATATGACTATGTCAAAAACTTAAAAATAGCAATACTTTAAACCCCTTACCTCGCTCTAGTAGACTAAAGAAACTTTCTCCTAAAAAATGGCATTATCTTGATCGTTTCATTTTAGCAAATAGATATTACACATATACTGAACTTGCAAATATTTTGAACGAAAATTATACCAACCTCAACGTAACTGACCGGACTGTACTTAATGAACTTAATAATCTTAATTACTTTAGTACTGTCCCAAAACTATACCCTTACTAACTGACCAACAAAAGCAGCGTAGAGTGGAGTTTGCTATGAAATACAGAAGACAAAATTGGAATAGAGTGGTTTTTTCCGATGAAACTACATTCCAGATGTTTCAAAATACTCAGACAGTCTTCCATAAAATTGGTACATAGCCTTCACACAAACCTATGGTGAAATATCCGTACAAAGTTCATGCATGGGGTGCCTTTCAGCAAAAGGTCTAATTGCTTTCTTCTTTTTACAGGAATAATGGATAGGTGCTTTTACCGAGAAATTTTGACAGAAAACCTATTTGAAAATGCAAATTCTATCATAAGGAGGTGCTGGATGTTCTAACAGGACAACGATCTGAAGTATACAGCCAAGGAAACCAAGAAACTTCTTTCAGAATGTTGTCTAAGGTTGTTAGATTGGCCTTCGAACAGTCCAGACCTCAACCCAATTGAAAATTTATGGTTGATTTTGAAGGGGTGTGTGAAAAAAAAGGTTAACAAACTGGTTCTTAAAAAAACCAGTTACTGTAGATGTTTTTTGTGAAATAATTCAAGAGGAATGGGAGGGAATTGAACCAAAACTTTTTCTTAATTTAGTTCGTAATATGAAATCGTGGCTAGATCTAGTAATTGAGGTTAATGATAATAAGATACCCTATTAAGTTTCCTTAAGTAAACTTGTTCACAGGATTGTAAAGGTCATGTGTACAAATTTGTATGTGTTCATGATGCTTATTTATTGTCTAATTAATAAAAATGTGATTCTGATTACTTTTTTTGACCACTGTATATTATAAGATTTGTATTATATTTTAATTATATTATATTTTATATGATAATATCACTTATTAGGTATATCAGATGATTTGTATTTTGTTATATTATTCTTAGGAATTTTACATTTTAAAATTTATAAATAACTTCATATTTTTACATAATAATAGATAATTTTTTTATCTCTTATAGATAAATAAACCTATGGTATTATTAGAAAATTAATTCAAAATTTGTTTCTAAATATTTTCTTTAAATTTAACTTTAGATCTGTTTAAGATTTTACTAACTTTTAAAGCTATTTTAGCTTTCAGTAATTTAATTTAATAATATTAGCTTATTTTAAAACTCACTTAAAATTGATTTTAATTATCTTAAATTAGTCTTTTCATAATCTTTAAATCACATGATTTCTGAGTTCGTGTTCAATTTACTAAAATAAAAATCAGTATTCTGTGTTAATTGCACACATTCTTGAAATTTAATTATATTTATAAATCCAAGAAATATGACCTTGAATATTTATGAGGGTTGGTTATTTTTAATCAGGTGAATATAAATTGTCTGATGCAAGTATTCAATTACTGTTACATTTATTAAAGTCCGTGCTTCTTTGCTTAGTATTAATAAACTCTTATTACAAATAATAATAATATATCACACTCAATGCTTTTTATGTCCATCAAATTAATTCAAGCGTGTGTAATTAGAGACGGGACGGTTCTCTCAGTTCCATTTCGGTTCCTCTTCGGGTTCTGCTTCGGTTCTCCTAGACTAGGAGCGTCAAGTTAATTTATACAAATAGAGCATGTGAAGTTGATCAATTAAAAAAATATTTTGACTGGTTGTTAAACAAATTCGGTATTTAACTTGATGAAGATACGATTTAGAACCGACTCTTTTGAGCCGTCCGGATTCGGCTCCGTTTCGATTTTTAAAGTTCATAATTCAGTATATGCTGAATTTTAGAATCGGTTTCAGAACCTACTCTGAGTCGCACTTTTTGAACCGTCCCCAACCCTATGTGTAATAACTATACTATGTAGTGAATTTTTTTTTTTATTATTAGAGATCTTTGTATTTCTGTAATTTCTTGTATATCAATTATGTGCCAGAACACAACAAAGTTTTCAATTGCATCTAATTTCAAATAATGATTCAAAATTAAATGTGAGTAATTAGACGTTAGGCTTGTAAATTTCATTGCTCAAATAATTCGATTTCAAACCACACAATAGATACATTTTTTGGACGTATATAAATGCATTAATAAATAAGACGGCAACCTAAATTTGATCGACAAAATCCTGTACTTCGGATTTGAAAAATTCGTTAAAAATGAGCCCCAGTATTCATAACGTGTTGCCCCAATCTGTGTTTCATATTTACTTAATAAAGGAAAATTTTTCATTAAAAATCTATTTGACACTATTACTGTATATATCAGATGATAAAGAGAGGCGGGAATGATTTTTCAATGTAGATAATATTTACAGTAACTTTATTAGTAAAGAATGGCGCAGTGGATGGTTCATTGCACATACAGCAACTGTGTGTTGATCAAAGGGCGTAAAAACCATGTCGTGCAACATTGCAAATTGTTTTATTTATTTCATTAATCCTTGCAAGAAAAATTAAATTATAATGGCTAAACGTTACGTTCGCAGCAGAGCAAAGCGACTTCAAAAAAATGAAGCATTAGGTACCAAAGATTTTATTTTTAATATTCTGATGGAATCCAAATAAAATATCTAATTTTATTTATTTTTAAAAAGAAAATGCCACCAATGCCAGCGCCGATGCCAATGATGCTAATTTTTTATTGGAATTATCGCAAAATTTACTCGAAAGTTTAGAGGACAATGAATTCTATGATGTTACAATTGAAGTTGGAAATGATCCATATGTAAAAGTATTTCGTGCACACATGATGATGTTATATTACCGTTCTCCTTATTTGCGAAGAGTTTTGTCCACTAATAAAATGAGAAACGATGAAACTTTGGTTCATATTAAATTGCCAAATATTTTACCTGAAAGTTTTCATGTAATCTTGAGGTAATTTAAATTAATAATAAAATTTTTTTTTGGAAACAATTTCTTAGATTATTACAAATAAAGTTAATTTTTTTTTTATAGGCATATTTATGGCGCAAATCTTTCTTTGAAGGAATATGAAACTACAGATATTATTAATATCTTGGTTGCCGCCAATGAATTAAGTCTTCAAGGATTAGTTACCCATATACAATCATTTTTAATTCAAAATAAAGTAAATTGGGTAGATAAACATTTTAGCTTGATATATCAAACAAGTTTTAAACATGATTCTTTCTTGGAGCTTCAAGAATTTTGTACCAATGTAATATCTAAAGAGCCAGAAAAAGTATTTGAGTCTGTTGATTTTGCTTCAATTCCAGAAAAATCTTTGGTTGCTATTATTCAAAATGAGAAACTTACAATGAGTGATGTTCAAGTTTGGGAGCATGTTCTTAAATGGGGACTAGCTCAAAATCCAGATCTTTCTTCAGATCCTTCTAGCTATTCGAAAGATGATTTCAATGCTTTGAAGAATACCTTACAAAAATCTATTCCATTTATCAGATTTTCTAATTTAAGTTCTAGGGAATTTTTGAATAAAGTTTTACCATACAAGAAAGCATTACCAAAAGAACTATATGTAGATTTAGTTAAATATTTCTTAGACAATGACCATAGGCCAAGTGATAAATTGATTAAAGCGACTAAGGGGAAGGATATTGAAAGGAATAATGAAGTTGGGATGGACATCATGGTGGAGGTGGAGGAACCTATTAAAGAGTTCTCAAGTTATATTAACGAATCACGAAATTCAGTAGAAATGGGAAAGAAAACAACTTCGTATAAAAAACTTAATTATTTATATTTACCAGGCGAATTCTAGGCCAAGAGAGAAATTGATTAAAGCGACTATGGGGAAGGTATTGAAATGAATAATGTAGGTGGAATGGACATTAATTGTTCAATTGAGGTGAACATGGAGTATATGCCTAAGATGGTGTCTATGACGGATGAGCCTTTTAATGTGTGGTCAAGTTATAGTAACGAATCACGAAATTCAGTAGAAATGGGAAAGGAAACAACTTCGTATAAAAAATAACAACATAAATTCTTTTACGGTAAAAAATTTATATAGGCTAGTTGTGAATTTCATTATAACAAAATATTGTTCAGATTCTAATTTTTATATACAAAAAAAATTTTAAAATCTAAAATAAATTAAAACTAAACAAAAATTCAACTTTACTATTCTATCAAGTCCGTGTTCGATTACAATAGTCATATAATAAAATTCATTTATTCTCAAGATACATGATGTTGAATATTTATTATGAATTTATACTGGATGATTGTTATAATTCTTAATATAGTTGCAGTATCTGTTATGTAATTTAAATACAAGAATATAAATTGCTTGATGCAAATATAATAACTGCTGCCTATTAATGTCAACTGCTTCTTTGAACGTTATTTAATGTCAAGTTTTTTTTTAATTAATTTAATTTATCTCGTTTAAACATGTAAATATTTCAGGACATTTAAAGAAAAACAAATATTCAATCTTAAATTATTTCCCATAAGATTTAAATATTTTGTATGTAAGGAAAATTAAATACCTATACGAAAAACTTGCATAACATTGTTTTTTTTGCAAGATTATTCAATAACGGTAGTCATTTCATAATGTGGTCGCATCGCATTTTCAAATATTGAGATCAAAAGTTTATTTTTATATTAAAACGTAAAGCAGTAGTAATATAAATAATCACGTGCGGGTATGCTTGTCAATCGGTATAATAACAAATTTCCAGTTTTTTGTCATATGCAAACCTTACTTTTCACACAATTATTTTATGACTACAATTTTTTTCATTATTTACTAACAACAAAAAGTAATTTATCCGTGATGGTAAATATAAAGACAAGTCTTAATTCGTGAATACAGATATAGAAACCTAATTAACTATTTTTTTATAGGGTTTAATTTAAAAAATTGCTTATCTACTAATGTTATATCCTAATCAATTTCAATTCTACAAGTCCCTTAGGAACTTGACCACGATGTATTTGTCTGACATTTTTCCATGACCCTTTTTTTTTCAAAATAGTATGTATTGTAGTCCGCTTTTGGTTTTTTTAAAGTCGGAGTCAAATTTCTGTTTTACCTAATAGTATACCAACGCGATAGTTGTCAAAATACTTTTAATCCAACGATTATTTTAAAAAAAAAAAAATTTTGAAGTGGAACTTTGAGGTGCTTGTTCTAGACGTTAATAATAATTTTTCTCTGATATAAATTTTACGTAAATTTCCAAAGATGATTCGGTAATATCAATATACCTTATTTTGACATCCTAGTAACGGTTGATACTTTAGCGAATGAGCGATCCAATTATTTATATTCTCCGCTTGTTAGAGTGAGATACCGGTTAAATATTAAAATCATTTAGATTATATGGGTAATCAAGGGTGATTCGTTAAAACAATTTTTTTAAAAAAACATAATTAATAAGAAAGGAACCAAAGAAAAAGATTTTTATTTTGGGAATTCCGACACCTTGAGCGCAAATAACAAGATAACGAAACAAGAAATTTATAGACCCGTTGTAAATTTGCACTTAACCATATTTATTTATTTTCTTTGTTATTTTTTAATTTATTACCATTTAGTATTGATTTAATAAAACGGAATTTCAGAAGTGAGTGTATTATTAAATAATGTTTCCATCATAATTGTTAATTAAAAACCTTCAGATACAGTTGCTATATTTTAATTTCATTACTTATTAATTAATATAAACGCAAAGACCATTAACAGTACAGATTATGAGTTTAATATTTTAAAAAACAAAAAGAACACTCAGATTGAATTTATAAAGTAGTTCAATATATATAGTAAAGAATTATTAAATATTGCAAAAACTTATTATCAGCAATTTTAGTATTTGGAACTTTGGATTGATTTAAATTTTCTATTTCCTAATATTTTTATCTATTTAAAACATTACATTTTCAATTAATTATTCAGATTCAGATCAAAGATTTATATGCAGAGGGTAGACCAAAGGTTTAGATCACTTACGAAGCTTAAGATCTTAACATTTAAATTTAATTAAGTTCCGATATCATTAAAAATTTAGTCACAAATTATTACGTGTCGATGGCAGATTTTTTTGACTGTATCATATGACTTATTTACTAAATACTGTATATACTGCGCTCTTCATCATAATGCGGGCGTAAACCATGATTAATTTCATAGAAATTTTCTCATTAAAAAAAAAATTCCTTATGAGGTAATCAGATTTTAATGGCTGATAATAAGTTTTTATTGGAATTATCGCAAAATTTACTCGAAAGTTTAGAGGATAATGATCCAATCGGAATGATTTTAACATAGCGGGCTTAAGCCTGATTGGTTGATTTTCAAAATGATCGTCACATATTAAATTCACGGGGACCGACCGTTTTGATCAATTTGTAAACTTCATTTCACTCGTATATTTTTTATTTAAACATATGATTTAAAAAATTTTAAAGATCCGCGATAATGCTTCGCCACTAAATATGAGAAAATTTATGAGCATATAAGATATAAATGTTTATATAAGATGTCCATGACTTAAGCTAAACCCTTTTTTGCATTTTTTACTTGCAAACTTTATGAAAAATTTCAGGATATTAAAAAAATTTATTTTATATTAAAAGCCATATTTATTATTTAATAAACATAATTAGCTAAGTATAAAAAATTTTTTTTACAAACATTGTAAAATTTATGTGGATCCGAAATATAAGATCACTAACGAAAAATTCATCGCGTGCAAATGATTCAAATATGATAGATAAAAGAGTTAGATACTTAGGTAATAAATATTAAGACATTAAATTTGAGAGCCCGACACTTGACCTGTCTAAATATATAAGAGTAATTAATATTTATTTGCCAATGTAAACCAGTTATAAACAAATGATATTAAAACGTAAAAATGAGAAAAATTACCTTTGTTGAGTTGATTTTGGTTTAGCTCAAATCAATCCTTAAATGTTCTGTTCATTAAAAGTTTAAAAGCAAATCTTATATCAATAATATCATGAATCTTATTCATAAGAAAGAAACTTACCAGAACATTCTTCCCCAAGAGTATCAGAATTATTATTTTCTAGCAAATTTTTAAAATCTAAACGTTTACTTGTATAACCTTGATGTGTTGTATATGAAATTTCAGAAGAAAACTGTTTATTAATTTTATCAGTTTCTTGAAATTGTTTATAAATTAATGAATTTTTATCTTCATGGTCCTTTTCCAATTTTTTAAATTTACCGTGTAATTCATTTGCTTTAGGACGCTTTGAAGGATCTTTATCCCAACACTTTTCGATAATTTTTAAAATTTGTTGAGGAACTTTAAAATTAGATTCTGGTCTCAGCCCGTCACAGATTTGTATAGCCAAAGGAAATTCATGGGGCACATCGTAATGAGGAGGAAGTCCAGTCATTACTTCGTATGCTACAATTCCAAATGCATAAATGTCACTAGCTTGAGAATACGGTTTTCCTCTAAAAATTTCAGGAGCTATACACGGCAACACTCCATATAATTCCCCGTCATTTGGCTGATTTACTGATCGACACAATCCTAAATCAGCAATTGAAATTCTTTTTTTTCCGAGGCTTAAAATATTACCACAATGAAAATCACGGTGAATGTAACTTTTATTATGAATTTCTTCAAGACCAAATGCAATGCGACGTAAAATTTTTAATTTATTCAACCAATCCATGTGCTTGCATTTATTCAGATATTGTCTTAAATTGCCATTTTCTGCATATTCCATTACTATCGCAAAGTTATTTGTTTCTGGATCTTTGGTAATGCCATACAGTTGAATGACGCGACCTGAATCATTCATTTCAATATGTGACTTGATCTGAAAAAGATTATTCATAACAGTTAATATGGTATGATAAAAGATTTTCTATTGAGTCTTATGAGAAAATTATCTTACTTCGCTTAAAAATTCATCTGTAATATCTTGCGAATCGCGCAAAAATTTTAAAGCAACAGCTTCATTGGGGTATCTTTCCCATTGATTTTTTATAGTATCCCATTTGTTTATAAATCCATCTTTCCATTTTGCTTGAAAGGTCTCTCCAAATCCTCCTTTTGCCAAACGAGAAATATCTTCTAGTCTATCATATTCGATCCATTCTATTACTTCTTTATGGTTCTTTGCTTTGCGCTGCGTTTTTTTAATAAGATGATCGATTTTGTCATTTCCACTAGTCCAATTTTCATTTCGTTGAAAATTTTAGCGATACATGTTTGACACCAATCATAATCGGTATTAGACTTATTACACTCTTCGCAATGCCCTTTCATGAACATTTCTTCCATATTGAATAATTTTTTTTTTTTTTTTTGCACCAAGTAGAATATGGTAAAAGGTAAACATTAAATTCAAAAAAAGGGTTAAATATTACTTTATATCGGAGGATGTCATCCGTTTTGATTAAAGTAACGCAACGAAAATCTTTGGTCCCATGAATTTTGTCGATGTGGTACATGTTTTATGTTTTATCAACAATTTACCAAATACAGTAAAAGATAACAACATACTTGTCAAGATCTTCCGAACTTGATGCTTGCTCTTTAAGTTTAATTATTTAGATTACGATATAGATTGATTGTAATGTGATAAATCAAACATTCTGATGAATACAACTGTGCACGATACCTTTTTTATTTTTTGTTTTTTTTAGATTTTTATGGAAATCAAACGTGATCAGTATATATTTACAGGCAAGTTGAAATACTCGTGTAACGAAGAAAATTATGAAACACATCCAAAAATTAAAGTTTTCACATCACAATATAAAAATCGCCTGATATTATAACTTAAAATTATTGAGGTTTTCAAAACTTTATGACAGAGCTTTCCAAATATGATACGTGAAGAATAGTATGTGAGTTAAAGATTGCAGCTTGCCAAACTTAATCGAGATATAACATTATCCCTCGCGTACGATCTCGACATTTGCGAAGGAAAATTATGTAAGGTTATTAATTTTTTTTTTTTTATTTTCTATAGATATGCTGGCCCTAATTATAGGTCAACATTAAATTCTTATAGACCAGTATTAAATTCAGAATTAATTGCGTTGAACACATTTTAATAAAATAATCGATGGGTTTATAATATCTGGATCAATATAACATTGTCATTGTAGAATGATCTTCGTCACGCGTTTATAAAGAGCTCGTTGATTGTAATAAAGTACATCATTAAAATAATTTTCAGGAAAATCTTAAACTGTACAATAAATAATTAATAAATAAATATTTGGAAAAATCCGATAACTAATAAATCCAATCTAATGAGTTAATAGTTGATATTATTCGTTTTACAAAATTGAATTGCTCCTTCATGTTTTCTATTAGCAGCCTTTATCAAATAATAATTACCCAACTCTTTTTGACCTTGAGAGAAATAATAAGTAGAAACACTAAACATGGCCACAACATTATCATTTTTCGCCGCTTTGAGAAGATATTTTACCGCCTCTTTAATGTTCTTTTTAACACCCTTTCCGTTCATGACCATTGTCGCGTAACGAAGTTGTGCATCAGGAAAATCCTCACCATAATCTGCGGCTTCCTTAAAAAGTTCAACGGCTATCGCATCTTTTTCTTTTTGGGAACAGGTAAGGTCAGACCAACCTTTTGAAATGTAATAGGCTTTATAATATTTTGCTTTTGGATTATCCAAGTTGGCATAAGCATCGAAACATTTGTACAATGTCTCCTTTTTCATATTGTTCTTTAGATGCTCCTCAACCGCCTTGTCAATTGACAAATAATTGAATGAACTCCAATCAATCATTTCTGTACCAGACATTCTACGTACAGGAATTGGTTTACGACCATTCGAATGACCATTTTTATAGACGTCCTGAAGATCTATCAACATTTTTGAGAACATGGGTCGAAGACCTGGATTCGGATCAACAGCATCATGAACGAGATTTTGATATTTATCCGGAATATCAGGGTTAGTAAAAGGTTCTCGATACCCATCTAGTACATTTTTGGAAATTTCCATAAAGTCATCAAATTGTTCGTATGGTATCTTACATTCCGCAATTTCCCAAAGAAGAATACCAAAACTGTAGACTTCACATTTGGTGTCATATTTTTGTTTCTCATCCACATCCTCTCCCGCCAATTCTCTCCTTATCATTTCAGGAGAACTATACCGTGCACAATCTCTATCTACTGCTAGGTTACCAGAAGCCGCGTTGATGCCCCTACTTAACTTAAAATTTGTAATCTTTGCAATTTGATACCCTGTAATCACAATATTTTCAGCTCTTATGTCTCGATGAACAATCTATGGTATGATAAAAAAAAAAAAAGAAATATTTTTTTTTGTTTAAATAAAAAAAAAAATTTAAAAGGGAAAAAGGTCGCACATAATAAAGTGTATAACATTCGTTACCTTGACGGAATTAAGGAAGTTTAACCCTTTCGCGATATCATACGCAAATCTCAATCTCAGTTTCGGTTCGATATTTTGTCCGTGTAAAGAAATATATTCACGTAAATTTTTATGTTCCGCCCATTCGGTTACTAAATAATATTTACGTTTATCATTGGTAAGGCCATTGGAAGTAATACCATAAAAATGAATAATATTTTGACAATCCTTAAGTTGTTTAAAAATCGTGACTTGATTTTTAACTTGATTATAAAGTTTTTCATCAATAGTTTTAAAAGCAAGTTCCTCCATAGTATTGATATTAGTATATTTTCTCAATTTTTCACCTCTGGATTCATCCGTCGCATGATAAACATGGAACGGAAGTAAAGCTTCTTGAAAGATATTATCAATTTTTGTTTGATTTACACCTCTTTTCTCGTTTATCAAACTTTCCATAGTAATTGACATCTCACTAACCATTTCGACAACTGAGTTCATCTTATCATTTGTTTCAGACATTTTTTTATCGACTTGCTTATTAAAATTATTCATACTTTCCGCCAAGGCTTCTTGAAAAATCAAAAGCTCCTTGACATCCTCTCTCACGATCTTTTCTTCCTTCTCGGCATGAAATTGAAACCCAACTGTTAAAGTAAAGTTCAATAGACTAATACTACTATCATACTCTTTACGTAACTCTTCAAATTGTTTCTCGATCATTTTTGCTCCTAAAAATTTTTGCACTTTATTATATTGTGTTATCTCTTCAATGTATTTTTTCATTTTTTGTAGTACATGTACCAATCTTTGCAAACTGGAATAATTCTTTGAGGTAAATAAATCCTCTCTTGTTTGTAAAATGCACACGGCGGAATATGCTGCGGCAATACGTTCCGTCAAAATTTTTGTTATATTCTTATTATGCTGAGCCGTTCTATATAGTTCCGTAACCTTATTAAGAATGTCACCTACATCTTTAATAAGCGGAATAAATTGGGTGAAAGGAATAACCGTTGATGATACCAGTTCGATGGTGCTAGTCGCTATTTGCATTCCGTTCAATAAAGAATCCGAGTGATCATTTGTCAAATTTGCAACGGTCGGTCTGTCCAAATCATCCATTGTTTGCTTTTTTTTTTTAAAAAAAAACGGTTCAAAAAATTCTGGTATTTTGTATATTATGTATATAATAATGAGATGAGAGAAATAAGTTAATGAGAATTTTTCTTTGATACTGTTAATTTTAATTTTTAATTTTTGGAGGGAAAAAAAAAATTCGCAACATTTTATACAACTTTCATTCCTTTGTTTGTTATGCAAAATCTGATTGGGCAATCGTCATAAAGGTAACATTTTCTCATTGTCAAACAAAACAAGGATGATGATCAATTGTAAAAAAAAAGGAATTCTACTTCCGAAGTTTGGCTCATCCTTTACTTTCTGTCCTTCAAAATCGTCGTTTTTAAACCTAACCCCTTGGAAAATTAGTCTTTTTTCTCATCGAATTCATGCACGATTTTTTCATCACACATCTGCGAAAAAACACCTTTCGTATACATTAACGTCAAAGTTTTTTTTTTTTTTTTTTTAAGGATGAACAATAGCGATAAGAAATAAACACTGTGTTATACGTACATCAGTATTGGCATTTGGCCGTTTGGCCGCGACCAAAATTTTATTTTAAGTTTGGCCGGCCAAAAATATATTTCTATATACAATAGCTCACAAAAAAACACAAATATAAAATTTTTGCAAATTGCAAATGCAAAAATTGATGCCATTGACTTCGGGACGTTCAATATATTGCAAAATTGCAAAAAAATTGACGCTTCCGACATTCGGTACGTTCAATTTTTTGCAATTTTGCAAATAAACCGCGGCCAAATTTTGGCAAAACCATGTGACATTTGGCCGATTTGGCCGATTGGCGATTTTGGCCGCGGCCAAATGCCAACTATGCGTTATGTTCCCAAACAATTCTTCCCTCCTCATCTGAAAGTTTTTTTTTTATGTTTATTATAAGGCCAGGATCGAGTGTATGTTACACGAGTATCCAATTAATAACGCCACAAATATAGATGATCATGTTTCTGATTATGGTTAATGAAAGTTTAAAATAAATATAAAATAATATGATAACTTTAAAACGCTCGCTCATTCTAGTAATAAATGTCGACTTAAATCGAAAAACTATAATAAAAAAAAAAAATAGATATTTCGAGAAATCGACACAGACGGTACAAGAGTCAACAAATTTTCGTATGAATAAAGTAATAAGCTCCTCACCTTGTATTAATAAATCTGTTGTCAGTAAATAAATCATAAATGTAATTTCTCAGCGTTTTTTAAATGCATAATGACCAAAGAGCTTTCTAGACTGATTCGCCAATTATCGTTTAAAAACTTTATATTATATATAGTCCTTTCGATAATTATTCGTACCTGTCATTCTGAAAGCACGAAATTACTTATAGTATACAAGAAACTAGAAATTGTAATTCGAATTATCAAAATAAAAAAATTATAAATCCAAAATTTATAGATCCGGTATTTCGACGTTCAAAATTTTTTATAAAAAAAGTATCAAGTTATTACGTATACTGTATATACCCGACTTACTTTAAGTCGCCCAATAAATGAAACCGCGATAACGCCTCTACCAAAAATGCGGAATGGTCTCCAAAAGCTTAAACTCTTACTCCTTTATTAAATATTTTTTTTACACATTAATAAATTCACTTGTCATATTACTTATTTTTTAAAATAAAATTACCAAAGAATAATAACCTGAGAATATGAACTAATGCAGTGTTTTAAGATGACTTGTGGTATTAGGAGGTGAGAAAACCGCTTCAACATAAGTTAGTTGAAGCCAGGAAATATCAGATTGAAGTCCTTCTAAACCACTATGACGGCTACGACCTCTTCTTCATTTATGAATTACTCGAGCGTCAATATATTTTGCCAATTTCGGGGCATTCTATCTTCGATTATTAAATTTATGTTCTTTAAAATAATGTTTGGATGTGCATATGATGGAATATATTTCATTTTTCATACTAATTTTATTGTATATACAGACTAAAGAACATGAAAAATCGAGGTGATTTTCATACGGCAAGAAATTTAAATTGTTGTGCGTTAGTATCAGGCGGTACAATAAACTTGGCTAAGCGATACGATATTTTAAACATTGAACCCTTCAATAAGTCAATTATGTTTATTTTTTCCATTTAAAACGATGTTCTGAAGAAATCTTATAACGTATATTAATTTTTTATCATTCTATAAAGGTAATGAGGTCGGAAACTTGAGAGATCCTTCGATAGGAATGATCGTGAATCCGTTAAATAAGTTTGATGATTTCTTTAGAATGAACATTCTACCTCGTTATTACAAAGAATAAAATGTCAAAATAGCAACTTCAACGATGCAAACTACTCCATCTTCCCCAGTCCAATATTACGATTATCCGTTCATTGATATCATTAATAGCATCAGATGACGTTGATGAACAATTGTACTTCGAGGATGGAATTTCAACCGATGACTTTCTTTTTGGAGGTATCGGATGATTCATTAAAGGCAAAAGCCGAAAAATTACATGTTGAATACGTTAGACTTAATTTCTTTACTCGATGAATCTACCAACAAATTTTCCCGTCACAACAGACAAATTAAACTCAGAAGTGTGATTTAAAGCAAGCAATGAAAGACAACCCCTATGGTCTTGTAAAACTGTTTATATCAAATAAACAGTTAGATTGATTTTACTGTATATTTTCTTAATAACCCTATAATTATAACGAATTATTTTTTATAATTTTTTTTTTTTGAAAATTTGATCTAATCGAAAATTTTAAAAATTTTAGGAATTTTAAAAACATATATTCGATCGGTATTAATACGGTTTTTTTTTACTATGGCTTCGGAGAACAAATCGTTTAAGATAAATTTTGTAATGGAGGAACTATTATACTTTCCGGTTCATAATATATCTAACGCATTTAGATCATCGATTTTTTAGAATATACTGTACTGTTTTTGGAAGTAATAGTTATCGTTATAGAACTTTATAGTTTTAATGAATACATTTTACATGTTATATATAGGTGTTTTATTATTGTTCGCAATTACAAAATATTTGTGTAGGATATTATATTTGCTTGCACTTCGCTAGATATAGGTTAACCTACAACCGTTTCTCCTGAACACCACGTAGAGGTGGCAAGCTTCGTTCAGGTTTAAAAAAATTTGAGCCACAAAGACCCATTTGAGGTGAAAGGAAAGTGCAAACGAATATGATAAGGTTATAAAAATATAAACAAAAAATTTCACCTCAAAAACATCATCGAAATACATGAATACGAAATCAAACATTAAAAATTTAAAAAAATTTAAACTACAAAATACGGATGAAGTGGGGATTATTTTAAAAGCAAAAAGGAATGACAAAATAGCCAACTTCATATAATAGATACGATACGTCGTTGCATCGCAGTCATTCCTATCAAAAGATAAGCACCCTAGTGAAAGTTTATAAGTAAAATTTTTTTTGATTTTTTTATTTTCTAAATTTTTTTTGTTTTTTTTTTTTGATTTTTTGATTTTTTTTCTTTTTTTAAAAAATTGAAACGAACTTAATTTAATTACGTGTGCCAAACGAAGAAGGAGAGGTGACCATCTAAAAACGAAGGGGAAATGGATAAAAACCATAGTCAACGGCAACATAGATGCCAGGAGGATCAAGATCCATTGGCTGTGGCCATTGAATAGGTGGGGGAATATAAGGAGTTTCAACATAAATGCCGGGTGGATCAAGATCCATCGGCTCTGGCCACCTAGAAAAACGACGGATTTGAGCAATAGGGCGAGGTAGGGGAGGTACTGAAGCTACAGCTGTAGTAGTAACGGGAGGGGGAGGGGGAGGAACTGAAACGAGGGGAGGGGGAGGGACTGAAACAATAGGAGGGGGAAGAACTGAAATGAGAGAAGGGGGAGGAACTAAAATGAGAGAAGGGGGAGGAACTGAAACAAGGGAGGGAGAGGAATTAAAACAATGGGAGGGGGAGGTAAAGAAGTTACAGCTGTAGAAATGGGAACAGAAGAAGTGATAGCTGTAGAAGAAGAGGGAATAAAAGAGGTACAGCTATCGAAATAGGAGCAAGGAAAGGAGTAAGGAAGTTAAGGGTATATGTAGAAGGAAGTCGTGGCACACGTCTACGCGCTTATCTTATTTGTCTAGGTTCTTGTGACATTTTTTATAAAAAATTCCTAAAAGTAATTTTTAACCATTTTTATTTAAAATATTATGAGCTTTCTTTCAACCTTTTAAATCTTTCAAAAGTTCTCTTTTTCAAAAAAAAAAAAAAAATACATACCAAAAATGAAAAATTTTTTGGAATAAAGGTGACAAACGAGATTTGGAGATGCATTTTATATTTTTCCAAGATGGGTGGCTGATAAACAAAAGAATGGCCAATGAAAGAACACGACGATCAAAAATAAACGAGACGTTCAATAAATGAAAAGGATTTGTTTTAAATGATGTAATCATGTCATGAAAATAAACACGGTTTGCGTCATCAAATGTAAAATGATGATGACATCCAGTTGATTGACATATAAACTTAACTACGGCAGAGGTCTTTTTTTAAAGAAATGCTAAAAATGCTGCATTATTTTTTTTTTTTTTTTTTTTTTTTTTTTTAAGATGCTGGCTATTTTAAAGAATTAAATTTTTAAAAAATGCTGTGACGGTGAGTATTTATTTTATCGTTATTTATTTATTTTTTCTTTTTAACTTGATATTTATTGATTTTTTTTTTTTTTTTTTTAAAGCAAATTTTAAATAACTTTAATGGTGTTTTAATATTTTCACTTTCTTAATAAAATTGTCTTAATTAAAGACAGTATTTATAAAACTAATGATCAACTTGACCTATAACTTATGTTCGATAAGTAGCCAGTCAAATGGCATAAATTTCTAGTAACATATGCGGTCTACATCCATTATATTACGCATATGTTTAAAAACATCCCTAATATTTCTTGTAGCATTAAACATCTCTAACAAAGAGTTAGATCATTCGAGCTGCAAAACCTTCAAAGCAAATTAACCTTTACATCGGGAGCAATTTTGTGAATTAAATAAATTATATTCAATAAAATATTTTTGAAAAAATTATTAAATACGCATTTGTGGGGTTCGAAATTCAGTAACAAACCTAGTGCAGCCACTCTTAAGTTCCGCAAAGAGTTGTTTTAGCCTCGCAAAGAAGAAGTAAAGCTACCTGATTCATAAACAATGACAACTGAATTATTATAAAAATCTTTTTTATTTCCAACAATTTTTCGGCATTTAATTGATAATGCTTTTCGCTTTACAATATAATTATCAAACTTATCTTTTGAAATATTTTAGCATCACAAGTATGAAATAAACTGATCTTTGATAATATTTTGAATATCATGTGCATATATAAAATAATTATAATGTCCGACATCGTGTTCAATAATATAATTTATACGATGAAGCCGTAATATCATCAGAGAATAAATGAATACATCAATAGATTCATTATGGATAGCTTCGGTGATAGGTAGATAATACTTATACCTTTTCGTGAAATGGTAAGAATAACTTTTTCCATTCCCAATCCCATTGTATACATAAAAAATAAAAAAGTCTTACCAGCTTATTTATCATCCTGTATTATTTCTCACTACACTCCTATCTCCCACTCTCAAAATATGTTCTTATAATTAAATCGGGTTTGTCGCCCTTGATCCTAATTCTTGTATTTTCAAAGTTTTGCAAACACTGCTGTTCGTTGCTCAACCAGGATTACCACCTCAGAATATAATAATACGTTGTTGAAAAATATCTCTAAAGAATTCACCCTAGAAGATGAAAAAATTAAAATAAATAATAATAAAAAGGGGATTAGTAATCCCAATCAATATAAAAATAAAAAATCAAATCATCACGCACCTGATTATGCCACAGTGATGAGCTGAAGGCGTCCAAAGTACCGCATCTAAAAGGACGGAATCGTTCTATATTTTTTTTTTAATTAATTTATTAATTTATTTATTTTTTTTTTTTTTAGTTTTTATACATACCATTTTTTTTATTCATCCCCTCTATCCCGGTTTATCTTTTTTTTTAATTTTGTTTTTACATTTTAATTTATTTAATTTATTTTTTTTATTTTTTATTTCGTTCATCTTATTCAACTTTTAATTTAGATTTTTTTTTTGTAATTTTTATATATAGATTTTTTTTATTCATCCCTCCTCCCCCTTCTCCTGTTTATTTTTTTTTTATTATTTTTAATTTCGTCTTTATTTGGGATTAAGATTGAGATTGGGATTTGGAATTGGAATTGGAATTGGAATTGGAATTTGGGATTGGAATTGTGATTGGAATTTGGGATTGGAATTGGAATTGGAATTTGAGAATTTTTTGATTCTAACTCCCATAGATTATAACTCAATGGGCATTGGATGTTATCCCAAATCCTATAGGTATGGGTAACAAGTATATCAGTACCTAAAAGATTAACATCTCGTCAATACTGAGACTCAAAGAAAATACAGAGATATTTATACATATTGAATAAATAATAAAATAAACTAAACTAAATATATCGAA